AGCCTGGACAGCTGGGGAATGGTCACTGAAGGAATCCTAAGGGCATTCTCAGGTGCTAGTGGCATGAGGCAGGAGAGATGAAGTGGAACTCTAGCAAGTGCTCCAACTGTAAAATAATCAAGGCAGGAATCAGAGCTCCCTGCTGCAGGATAAGAGAACCCTGAGCAAACACAACATCCTCTGTCTTTCAAGGGGTTTACCTGCCAAAAAAACCCTGGGAATAAGAGAGCTCCCGTATTTCCAGCTGCCATGGCATTTTCTGCATTTATCAATCTTGCACTTACAGGAATTGGCTATCCAACAGAAGGCAGTTGGCTCTTTCCTTAGGGTCACTGGGATATTCCAAGGCCCAGCCAAGCCAGTGTCACCAGGATCCCACACTCAGGAAAAGTGGTTACTCCCAAGCAGAGAAGCAGAAGATTACAAAGGGTGCAGTGAGGAGTGAAAGTTCTCTACACTCGCCTGATCTCTTCTGCAAGGCCAGAGCAGCTTCAGGTTTGCTTCTCTTTAAATTAGAGAGCAGCAATGGAGAGAATAGAGTGCATTAATCTTGCTCAGAGGTGCTGCAGTCCTCCCAGCCTCTGGAACACTGACAGCATTGCAGGAAGGCCCTGGAGGTCACAGCTGCAAAGCAGTGAGAGGTGGGATGAGCTTTGCCACCTGGTACTGCCAAGGGCAGGTGAGATCAGTCATAGCTACTGGATCCCGTGGCTTGACTGGTACTATCAGTTATCACAGCTTTGTGAACCAAGTGTGCTTCCTGCCAGGGCCTCACTGAGAGGCTGCTTCTGTCCTTCTCTCACACCCGGATATTCACCAGCTTTCTCTGCCTCATCAACAAAGTAAGCAAGAATCCTGCCACAGCTTGACTCACAGGTTGCTCAAGGTCAGCTTCCCCCAGGGAATAAAACCTTAATTCAATGAATAATGAAATCATAATTAAGACCCAACCAAACACAAGCAGCATGAAGAGCAGTGCCCAAGTTGGTGGCTGCCCTGCAAGTCCACGTGATGCCCAACAGCAAGGGCCAAACCCCCACTTGCACAAAGGTTGTCACAAAAGCTCTTGCCCAACCCAGCCTCCTTATCTTCCACTTCACACTCCTTGCTTTGTAGGAGCCTCTGTCCCTTGCGTGCAGAGATGGCTGATGGAGCCCTGATAGGACAAAACAGCAGTACTGCCCTCTGCAGAGGGCTCCAACATCAGAGCAGGCACAAACAGCAGCACTTGAGCAGTAGTTGTTTATTCAAAGAATCCTTTATTTTCTCTCTCCTATAAGGCACATCACCCACTGTACACTCATCCCACACCCCTCTGTCTCCTTGCTTTCCTCCCATACCTTCCCTGACAGGCAACCCACCACTTGCTACAACAGTTTTGATATGCAAACATTTAATTTTTTAAAATTTAATATTCTTCCTTCTCTTCCTGTACTACCTATCCAGCAGCCTGTACCCCCCTAGGGTGCATGCAGCAGCAAGGCAGGCAGCATCACCCTTCAGACAAGGCTTCCAGACACTGATTTAAGCCACACCGTTAAACCTCTCTTCTGACTTCCAGCAAATTACTATAACCTCCACCCCAGCTTACTCCTGGCACAGAAAATCTGTAAGAGATCTCTCGCAGCACTGTTGCAGGAGAATCACTTTGCCATGTGTAATGCTGTCCTCTAGTGAAGAGCTGTGACACTGCACATAGCAATGAACCCCCAGCTCACAAATGCCAGCCCATCCCACTGCTCCTGTGGCTGCTCTGCCCTCAGAACGCTGGCAATCCGGAAAGGATTAACGATACCATTAAGACCACAGAGCCAATATTTTCTTACCACCCTAGAGAGCAGAACTGCTGAGTGTGTGAACAGGGACATATCTTGTGTCCCACTTCGAGCCGAAACCACAAGGCCAAGGACTCCTGACAGCTCTCAGCATGACTCTTCAGCTTGATCTGCAAAAGTCAGAGGGCAGTGGACTGTAGCACAGAGAAATGGCCACAGATGCCACAAAACCATAAAAGCAGTGAGGTCTTGTGCAAAAAAACCCCAAAGCCCAAGAAACTGTCTGTCCAATCACCAAGACATGGCTAAGCCTATAATGAACTGCTCACGGGGCAGTGTGTTGTGTTCACAGCACTGCCACCTTTCAGCGTATTTCCAAGCAGCGCAGTGAGTGCTGCAAGCAGGATCACATTTAAACATCCCATGCATTCCTGCAGCGCCAAGTCACTCCTGCCTAGGGTTGGCTGAACCATGCCATTCCTCACTGCTGGGAAAAGAACAAGACTTTCCAAGACAGGTCATTAACAGGAAAGGAAGAGCACGAGGAGCAGTGGCACACAAACAATGTGCTCATCTCATGGTACACTTCAGCAGCAGAGTAACAAGAAGAGGAAAGCAACTTGTACCACACCTGGAGGTGGATGCAGCCAGTTCCCACCTGTATTTACCTCCAGTACAAAACACTGCACAGGAAATTAGGATACTGGGGGAGAAAGCACCATTCTGCTCTTAAGCTCATCAACATTTACTTCCCACTGCACCAGCCCAACTTACTCCAACTGTTTGCCAACTCAGCTCACAAAACTGAACAGGTGTCAGCCATGGTCCTCCCCGACTCTTACACAAATTTCACTTCTCCACATGCTAGCCCAAAGCTCTCATTTCCATAATATCCAGCCTCAACCTACAGCATTCTCCTCCTCCCTGCAAAGGCCTTTGCACAGCTCAGAGAGACGTCCCAGGCATCCCATCCAGTATTCTGCTACTCTCAGAAGCAGGGTCTGCATGGAGAGAATCTATCTCAGGCCAGCAATCTTCCCTTAATGAAGTCTTCCCTATCCTGCAGCACTGGGAGGCTATTCACTGACTGTAATTGTGGAAAATCAATAACACAGGTTCATTTAGCTACATCCTTCAGGGGCCCTTGGAGAGCAAACAAACATCCCAATGCAAGAGGTAGCAGCAGAATTCAAGCTTTCTAGTGGACCCTCAGACATGAGAAGTCAAAATTAAAGGAGCTTATAAAGAACAGGAGCCTGCAGAGCAGTTTTTGGCGTGGTGGGAGGAAGGCTGTTTAGGGACGCTGCAGCTCTCCTTCCTTGGCAGGAGTCCCTGAGTGCATCATGTAGCCCTGACTCTGTCTCCAGCAAGGGATCTCTTCTGTGCTCTTTAGGAAGAATCCTAGAGAGGGATAATTTGCAAGCTGTGTCTAGTCGCTGACTTTACAACACCCCAGAGCTCCAGTTTTGCACCACAGGAGCCCACTCAGAGCACAGCTTGGTGTTTTTGCTAAAACCCCAAGGACAAAGCAAGCACCATTACTGCAGCTCCTTTAGGGGTGGTTGTTAACAAGGAATTCTGTTTAGGAAAGAAGGCACAAACCTGCTCACAACTGCCTGGAGAGAAGCTCACACCCAGCTGTTTGTCCTCAATAAAATGAAAAGCTTTCACCTAACCTTGGCAAAAGCCAAGACTTCACATTTAACAAACACAAACCTGGTCTTACTCAGAGCCCTGAGAGTAGAGGGTTGACAGGGAGAAGAGAGCCTTAAGAATATCAAATTTCTTGAATATTACCATGGAATTGTGTGTTTTAGGAAGGGCAAGTCTTCACTGCAGCATGAGTGAGTCACAAATAAATGCAACAGGGAGGTGAAGCTGTTGGGCTGAAGGCAGAACATTGCAAGCCCATCACACTCAGTACATTTGCTGGGAATGTTCCAACAGTTCTGCACATCCAGCCTTATCTGGTTCCTAAATAGGGAAAGGTGAATACACGTTTTGAGAATGAACAGTTACATCTATCATATTGCTAATGGTATTGGTTGATATGAGTGGATACATACAACATTTGGCTGGAAGGTTCATCGAGAGGTCAGCTTTGCTCAGGGCCTGTGTTCAGGCCTCAGTACTTCAACCCAACAAGCACCAGGCAGAAACTGTCAAGACCTCACTAAGGCCCAGAGGCACTCTTGGTACATGCCAACCCTCTGCCTCTTCACTGGAATTAAGCAAGAGCATAGGGAAGGGACTTGTAGGAGGTAGTAACTCATCATCATTTCACCTGCTGAACCAAAAAAGAGAAGGAGCTGGAGCAAACCCATCATTGAGAGAAAACACATTAAAAATGACTAGAAAATCCATTTTGTAGTAATTGCTGCAAATTCCCTTTCCAAAATTACAATTATTTTGCAGCTACTCCATTTATTCCATAACATGTCTTACTGGGGAAGCCTCTGGGTAACAGGCAGCTCTCCAGCTGCTGTAGCCTCCTCCAGATCTACAAGTCCTGGTTTACACAGGGTTTTTGCTGCAACCACCACACCTGACTGACCTCAGATTGAAGGGAGCAAGAAGATGATTGCAGAAGGCACAACTACATTATTCCCAAAAGTAATTTTCTTGCACCATAAAGAAAAAAACCCTAATTTATATCCCAAATTAGCATTTTAGTTGTCTTTTGAACAAGACAATAGAACAATTTTGTAGGGAGCTGACACCTGTGGAGTAAGGTGAAGCCATATCTTAAGAGGACGTTTAGATTGTATCAATAACGAGTTTGGGAAGAGTCCAATTTGGACAAAACTAAGGCAGCCTTTCCCTCTAAAAAACTGCCACTTGGCTCGGGCACCCTTGCAGCCTCACAGAGGTGCAGGCAGCACATACCTGCATCAGGGAGACCGCAAAAAGGAACTCCGTCGGGAAGCCAAGATAGAGAGGAGACTCCTGACCTCCTCCAGCGCCGGGCGCGTTCCAGGAGGCCGTGCCAGAAGCCCTCCTGGGGCTGGGCGAGCGCTGCCCATTCCCTGAGGCACCGCTCACCGGCCACCCCTCACTCCGGGGCGGGCAAGGGGTGGGATGACGCGGGCACCGGGGGCGGGGGCTCCTTTGAAAGGGTGGCCCGAGCTCCGCCCCCTGCCCTCCCCTGCCCTCTCCTCCCCTCCCCTGCCCTCCCACCCCTCCTGTGGTTCCCACCCCTCAGGGCGGGCTTGCCCCCTACGCTCCGCCCCTCGCCCCCGGCGGGGCAGCGCGGGCAGCGGCACCGGTGGCAGCACGGGCGGTACCGGCATGTCCTGAGCGGCGGCGGCGGCCGATCCGGGCCGGAGCCAGCACGGAGGGCTCGGTGGAGCAGCGGGCCAAGGGCCGGGCCTCCATGAAGGAGAAGGAGGCGGGCGCGGAGCGGGGCAAGCCCGCCACTTACACCGGGGACAAGAAGGCGCGCATGGCGGCCAAGACCAACAAGAAGTGGGTGCGCCTGGCCACCGTGCTGGCCTACGTGCTCTCCGTCTCGCTGGCCGCCATCGTGCTCGCCGTCTACTACAGCCTCATCTGGCAGCCGGTGCGCGGCAGCGGCGGCTCCTCCAGCCCCGGCCCCGGCGCCGCCGCCACCCCCGCGCAGCTCCGCGCCGCGCCCCCCGGACCTACGGCGGGGCCTCCGCCCGGGGCGCCGGCAGCCCCTGAGCCGGGCGGGCCGCGGGAGGCCGCGCGCCGCCGGGGATGCGGCCGCGGGGCTCGGCCGATGATGGAGACCGATGGCTCGCCCGTCCCTGCGGCACCGTGCAGCGCCCGTGGAGACTGACTGGAGACTGACCTGGAGACTGACTCGACCCCGTTTGGACTCGGTGGAACTGCGGTATCTTCTTTTCCCCCCCGATTTTTCCTCAAAAGGGAATTTTGTGGCTTCGTTTTCTTCCTCACCAGGGCTAGCTTCTCCCTTTGAACCCGCATTGAATTCCTGCGCTGTTTATGCCAGTCTGTTACCTATACAAGGATATCGGTGTCCAAAATTCCTCGCTATTTACAGGATCAGCTGGGAACAATACGAATTTAGAGGCTGTAATCCATTGTTGAAGTAAAAACAGTTTTGTTTAACGATGAGCATAAACTTATTTAAAATATGTGGAAGGTAAATTGACTTGTTTACTATATTAAAATATTTTCCCAATATGAAAGTCTCTGTAACAAAGTATGTTCTCTTCGGTGGTGGGAGGAGGAATGCTGAACTGGAAGGGGTCTGAGTAGCAAAAATTTGGCCACTGCAACGGGCAACTACGGTATATGATGTTGATTCATTTGTCATTGGTCTCCATAGGTGAGGCTGGAGAAACCTCTGTATGTGGCTAATTGTGGAAACGAAGCAGTGGTGCTGGAGAGGTTTGATCTGTGCTGGCAGAGCAGGTGGAGCTGTGGCGGTGGGTGCTGCTGGGCTCTGGGCTGCGGCGCGGTTGTGCTCTCGTGTGCTGCCTGCGAGGGATGGCAGCGCTTACAGATCGTCCCCGCACCTCTGGGGCATGGGGAACCAGGGTAGGTCTGGCCCAGGCAGCTCCTGGTGAGTCCTGGGAAGGTGTCCTCCCAGCTCCATGGTTTCCTGCCCTGTGGTCCCCAGAAATCTTCTATTCCTTGATGAGCAGGGTGAAAAAATGGCCTTTAATGACTCCAGGATGTGGGATATAAACTAGGAAACCGTAAGAGCCATGTTGTTCCAAGCTGCTGCTTTCCAGATGGACGGATTCAGCTGAATCTGTGAGGCTGCCAGGCTGTGCTGCATCCCTATGAAAGAATCACAGCAGTTCAGATTCCTTCTGCTGAAGGATGCAAATGTGGTGTAACGTGGCGTACGTATTTCAGTTGTGCAGATCACAAAGGTACCATAAAATATGGCACTTGGCTGCTTGAAAAGAGCTGTTTCATATGAAAATTGGAGTTTGGGACTGTGGTGGTTTGTTAAGGCTGCATCATTAGCTGGGCATTGCCTTTACAGCATCTGTGAAACGTAGAACCAGGAGCAGAGGGTTTGCAGGGAGAAATGAAAGGAGAGTGGTCTGTGATCTTCTTTTCACCCTCCTTTTCAGTTTTCTGGGGAGCATGCAGGGAATGCTTTGTGTTGTTGAAACAAAAAACTGGTGGGAAGGACAAAACGATCCCGCTTAGTCACTTTAGCCAAAATCATGGGATCACTGCCACCCTCCTGCGGGGCAGATGGAAGAGCTGGAAGCACTGTGTCAGCAGATGGGTGCCCTGCAGCTGTCACCTCCTGAGGTGCTTCTCTGCTCTCCCTGTTCATCCGCAGGGGGAAGGCTGAGTGTCCCAGAGCAGCACTGGCTCTGGGCCCCACGGGTGTCTGTTCTCTGAGTGGGGGATTGTGTTCCTCTGGTGGTTCTGCCTGCAGCATGTTGATCCCTCTCTGTGGCGCTGCTCATGCCCACAGCAGTTCTGGGTCCTGGTGACAGCAATGCCTTTTGCTGGCCTTGGGGTACACCTCTGATTGTGGGAGAAAGTTCCTGCAGCTTCCCGAGGGAGGAATGAATGACAGAGAAACCAGGCTCATTGTGGTGCCAGTTGAGTTTAGTTTGCTTCTTGGCTCAGGTGGTAATGCAGAACCAGTTGGGAAGTGTCTCTGAGAAGGAGCTTGTGTTTAGCCTGTAAAACCTTGGAGATAAATAAAGCTGCGTGCAATGACATGGATGCTGGGATTTCTCTGCTGCTAGCCTGCAGCTTGGAGCTGGTGACTCTAGCGGCTCCGAACGGTGCATCCAGTGTGTGCTGAGTGCCCAGGGCCTCCTGGCATCCTTCACTTTAACTGTAGTTGCTCTCAGAAGACTAATAGAGCCTGGCTGCGTGGTGCAGAGGGGAGAGGAAGTGAATGGAATTAAATGGGCTGCGTGGCCCTCTTCCAACCTGTCATGTAACTGCTGAGACGCCTTGTACTCAAGAGCAGGAACAACCTAAAGTTCTTTACCTGGTTTGTGGTTTTGGTAGCAGAGGATCTCTGGGACAGAGGCAGTGCTCAGATCCACTGGATCAAAGGGAACAGGCCCTTCACTGATGGCTGCCTCCCCTTCTGGTGCTAAAAATAGTTGATGAGCCAGTACAAGGATGGTTGTGGCTGTCTGCATTCCTGTAGGAAAGTGCAGGCTTGGTGAGTTCCCAGACTGTGTTTTTGCATCTTCTCCTTTGCTGACAAACAGATTTCAGTGAAATGCTGCTATTTCTGTACTATTACCACTGGCTTTGGAGCATCCTGGGGCTTCACTCTGGTTGTATTGAGTGTGCGAGGGAGGAGAAGCTGCCTGGGGAAGATGCAGAAGGGTTATGGGCTGCTGGCCTAACAGCCAGGGAGCTTTAGTGATTGCAGCAGCCTGGTTTTCCAAATCTTCTGGACCCATATTCTTCAGCTACAATCTTGTCCCCATCCTTTTCCTAGCCAGGAGTCATAGCCCTCCAGAGGCAGATGTGTTCCCATTGGGATGCTGTTGCCAGCCTGTGATGAGCCCGTTGCTGTGCTTCTTACTCTTGTCATGACAGACTGTCGAAGAAATTGGTGACTAAGTGTACTTTGCAAATACTCTAGTAACAAAATTGGCTTATCTGGACTGTTTTCTAGGTGTAAGCTAACTTAAAATTCAGGGCACTAGGGATTTCTTGGGAAGTAGATTGGCTGCAGCAGATACTTGGACTGGGAGTATTTGTATTATGTTGCTATCGTTGTACTGAGACAGTCATCTGCATCTCAGCAGAACTGCTTTAGTGCCCTAAAATGGTGCAGTCACCAGTCTGGGGTAAAGCTGAGGTTTAAAAGGCAGATGGTTGTGTCGTCTGTTGTGTTACTTCAGCTCCAGTTCACCCTTTCTCTTCACTGCTCCTCAAAAAAATAATAAAATTCAGGTTCACTTAGTGCGACTGTATCAGGCACCACAAGGCACTGGGCTGTGTTGCTTCCTAGGTAGAAATGACTGTAACCTTGTGATTCAAGATGTTGATTCCTTGGAATTGCTGGGGAGGGTTATTCCCTTCACACAGCTGCTGTCCTGCATGTCACCTACTAACAGAGCTGTGCCATGTTCCCATGTGTGCATGTCAGTGAGGAAGGAACATGTCTGGAAGCCAGCTGAATGAAGGAAATACTCAAATGTGAGTGAAATACCTTAAAGCTTTTTACTTTTGTGGTAGACATCTAATACCTGCCCTCTGCCTGTGCATACTGGTCTTTTCCCAATGAGCCCAGTTTGTCCAAGAAGAGCATTTAGTGTAACGCACATGCAGAGGGACCAGAAGGAAGGGAAATAGCAGGAAAAAGAGTTACTGGAGCATGTAATCTGCTCCAGCAGCTGGCTCACGTTTCCGTCTCTAAAAGCTCTTTTTTCCCCGTGCGTGTTCTCTTGCGGGCTCATCTGATGCAATGCACATCATCTTAATCCCAGATTCCTGTGCTGTATTTCTGACAGGGAATCTTGGCTTAATCCCCGAGCGTAGCTGAAAAGCAGTTGTGTGGTGTAGCGATGATAACAAAACCAGTGGCTGCTTCTGGGCATCGCGATTTCCCCCACAGAAGTCAAAGCTGATCCCGGTGGGCTGCTCAGGAGGGTGTTACCAACAGCTGGCTATGAGTCCTGGAGCTGCTGGAGCACACAGAGGGGGGAATGGCATAAGAAACAGCCATAGCTGAGCTGGAGCATGAAGCTTAGGGGTTGAAGCTTGGCTTGTGGCTGTCCACAGGTGTTCAGAGGCAGTGTTGGGAAAACTGGCCAGGTGCTGTGTCACTGCACTGGGATGGTGTGAGCAGGAATCAGCCACGGACTTCCCAGTGTTGCCTGCCAGTGCTGCAGAGCCTGGGAGCTGGTTGAGCTGTTGCTGTACAACCTCTCCAGGGAAGGCAGCAGGCAATGTCCTGAACTTCCCAGCAGTGCTGTATCCTGTTGCTCTGGGCCTTCCATCGACTTGAAAAGCACTAATTACTGTATTATGCACTTAAAATACAAAATTGATAGCTAAGTGCCAGTGTCCTCTGCCACTTGCAACCAGTTTATCTGGAGGGAGATCATTGTAGAAAACCAGTGAAATTTTATGTTATTTTTATATCTGGAGATTCTGTATTGGGCTTTACTGGTTAGTGGCCTGTGTGGATGCTCCTGCTGCAGGTATTGGAGTTGTTGAGGTAGGAATGGAGAGCTGAACTGCTGTCAGGATTTTGTGTTATGGCCTCCTTCAGTAAATGCTTTGGAAACAAGTATCTCCAACTTTATCCAAATGTATTTTTGTCCTTGGCTTAAAGTTTCCTAAATTACCTTCTTTATGCAAGAGCTGATTCACTAGTCTGGGATCAATTCTGATAGTACAGAGTTGCTGCGTTGAAACTGATGTCTAACTCACTAGTCTGGGATCAATTCTGTGCAGAGTTGCTGCGTTGAAACTGATGTCTAAATTTTTAAGGAAAAGAACACTGTCCAGTGGCCAGCTGATCCTTTGGTTTGAAGGAAAAAGCATTCTGCCTGGGAGTGCTGCCGCTTCCCTTCTGTCTGGAAAAGCTGGAGCAACTTCCACCAAATCCCTGAGCTACCAGCCACTGCTGGGAAGGAACAGGTCCTATGCAGGCAGGTGACTCTGAACTCTGTGAGCTGTCCTTAGATTTGCTTGCCAGAAAAGTGCAGTGGTGATGAGGTGGTGGCTCTGATGCCTCAGTGAAAAAGTGATCCTCATCTTCCTGGCATTGCTTCCAGGAGCTTTTGTGGTGAGGAAACTGAGCTAGCCCAGGAGTTCAGTGTTTCCAGAAGGAATCAGTGCTCTGAACTGCTGTTGCAGTTTAGAGCTGTTGCTCTAAAAAGCAGAGATTACTGATTCAGTTTGGAAATCTCTACATGTGGAACTGAGAAATAGTAACAAACAGAAGGTTTTTCCTCATTCCAACTTTTATTTCATATAAATAATCCCTCTACATCAGATTTGTCAACTTTTCATTTTTTTCTCTCACCATAAAGAAGAAATAGCTAAGCCACAGTTGTCTGAAAAATCACAACCCAGGCACCAAACAAAGTGCATTGAGCAAAGTGTTAATGAGCAGGAAAAAATACACTTAGAACAGGCACAAGCTGTCCAGTCCCATTCCCAAAGCCTGGATCAGACTCAGTCCTTCCTCAGCATCATTACCTGCAAAGTCATTTGGAAGAAAGGAGAAAAAGGAGGGAACGGAGGACCAGTGATGGTTTTCCTTCCAGAATGGAGTCTAGGGCAGTAATGTCTTTTATCTCTTCAACACAGTACTGGGCCAGGGCAATGTAAAATTCCTGCCTGGCCATGTGTCTAACTGTTCCTGGGGCGTAACAGCTCTTGAGCTGAGACTGTGTGTTCCATGGACCATGAGGCAAGCTGGCTTCTGGGAAATGCTGGTAATGACTCAGTCTGACTGGACCAAGAGGCAGGTCAGAGACCTGATGTACAAAATAATAATGAATAAAAAAAACTAAACAATTGCAAGCAGGTTTTTGAGTCAGTCAGATAAGGAAAATCAGCCTTTAACTGTGATGGAGAAGCTCCAGGACCTGGAGCAGTTTTACAATCTTCTGTTTATCTGTTCTTTTATCTGTTGGATAAGTTCAAATAAACCCAGTCTGGGCTTTGGTGGGGTGGAGATGTTTCTACTGATAAAACAAAAAGCTGCATGCTCTGTTTCTTGATAATACCTGGTGTGATGCCAGTGAAGTCTCCTGAATTTGGCACATGGAGGAAATTCCCAGGCTTGCGCTTCATGATAGGTGTCACAGGTCTAAGTCACACGGGAGAACAAATGTTTGTCTGTGCAAATATTAGTTTATTAAAGCAGCATAGAGTATTTCAGTCCACACGTGCCAACCTGATCTCCAGGGCAGTCTGCCAGCCTGGTCAGCCAACATCCTGCAGGACATTCCAGGCAGTCTCCACATATACCTGTCTCAGGGACGCTTACTCTGGCATCAGATTTTAGAGCAGCCTTGAAGTGAGGGTGATGCCCACTCTGCCCTGTCATTCAGAAGTCAGAAATTATGTTGTGTTATTCCATGTGCCTTCGCTGTCTGAATGACAGGGCCCACTCTGCCCTGTCATTCAGAAGTCAGAAATTATGTTGTGTTATTCCATGTGCCTTCTCCTTAACTGGTAGCTGTATTCCAGCTGGGTCCTTGCTTCCTGCTTGGAAAGCCAAGCAGCTAGAATTCCTGCATGTTTGTGCTTGTAAAGCTCCTCCAGATCTTCCATTTGAAAGGTATCTTTAAGGCCAGGTCAGAAGGTCAGCAGGGCATCTTAGAGAGGATTCCTGCTCTCTTAATGAAACACAAGGCTATGAAAGGCACAACCAGGAAGGTGAACATGTTTAATACAAAGTCTTGGACCTCCAGCTCCAGTTTGGCCTGGGTCCTGCTGCCAACTGCTTTGGGCAGTGTGGTGGGGGAGGAAGATTATTGTGCTGTCCCCCTTCTTGCCGTGCTGCAGGGATGCCCAGTTACGCTTGGGAAGGGGGCATGGGGTTTGCTGGGTTATGCACAGACCTGGTCATCCAAGCAGCCACCTTCCTTGGCACAAAGCACTGTCCTGATGTGCTCCTCAGCCTCTAACAGGGGAGGACAGCTGGAGGCTCTTCAAGGAGGAGGTGCTGGCTTGATCTGTGCTTGTCAGAAGCACTCCATCCATCCACCCATCCTGCTCATGCCCCTCAGCGCCTGCCACTACCATACACCTCTGCCAACACTTCAACCACGTGCAAACCTCTAGTACAAGAGCTCTGAACACAGCTTCTTCACCCACCTACTGAACTACACCCTAACACCTCACCCCTCTGCTTTGCCAGTCACCTCTTCCTGCTGTTTCAGTTGCTGGCACAGCCCCTGGCACGTGCCTCCAGCCTTTGGGGAAAAAACAGCGTGTGTGCCCAGAAACCCAAGCCATAAGTTTAAAAAGAATTAGTCATTAAATAAAATAAAGTGCATCAGTAGACATTTCCTTGGCTTGCCACGCAGCTGCAATATATGCCAAACAAATAGATAAGTGATGGTGTTTTCTCTGTAGGGTGGGAGTGTGTGCACCCTTCCCTGTCCTTTGACACACAGATAGGGAAGGGGGATGCCAGAACTGTGAGCGGGTGGTGATGGGGACCCCACGTGTTGTGAATGGTGCTGAAGGGCACTGCACAGGTGCCGAAGGCTGATTTCATAGAAGGTAAAAGAGTGAGGACAAGATTGTGCTCCTCTTCTCCTCCACTGCCTCCAGCATGTTATCCTGCGAAACAAGAGCAGAGACAGCCACAGGATTATCAGTCTCCAGGGAACTGCTGAGCTGTAAATTAAAATGTCTGCTGTGTTCCACCCTGCCCTTCCTGCATGGCTGGGGCTGCTTGGGAAGCACCACTGGGGCATAACCCAGATACCTGCTGCCAAATCAGACAGGAGCAGTGGAAGCTCTGCAGCCCAGGGGACAAGCTGATTCTACCAGTCTGGATTAAATACTCTCAGTCCTCCTCTGGGATACATCAACTTTACTCTTTCCTTACATCTCAGGAACAACAATCCTGATGTGTTCTTGTGTGTGCTGGTTCAGCACCTGGAGCACCAAGAGAAGAGGCTGATTTCAGGTAGGGCTTTGTGATCCTTCCTGGTGAACGTGGCCTGGGTGTGCAGCACTTGTAAACCCCAAGGGCAGAGGCTGAATCTGCTTTTCCTAATGAAAAACTATCCTGTGAGTGGAGCCTGCTGTCCTAGAGCTGCTTCCAGACCCAGACATGCTGATTTTAATTGGGAAAGGCAGACTTTTTATTCTTTTCTAGTTGCCAGATGCTTGGGTGCTGCTCAGAATTGCTGAGCCGGCATTTTCCTGCAGCCATGTTTAAATCCGTAGATCTGCCTTTTGCTGATGTAGATTTCAGCAATCAAACCTCCCAGGAAAGTTCAGGGAGAGTGATATAAAAAAGAAGAGGTTAAATCATCCAAAGGCAGGAGAGGCCACAGGAAGCTTGGCTTGCATAAAAAAGAAACTTCTCAAGGAATCTAGATCTAAAGACACAGCCACATATATTTAATAAGGAACTGCACTGGAATCAGACCCGAGCTGCTGACACAACTGATGCTGTGTGCAGTTGAGACGAGGTTGTTGCTGGAGACTTCATTCCTTCTCCTGTCTGTGTGCAGCAGCGAAGACTGGCTGTGTCCTACTGCCGAGGGCTGCTCAGTGCTGTGGCAGCACACTGGGATTTAATGGGACTGGGAAGGGCCAGAAGCAGACTGTCAGTCACACTTGGTGGTCCAGGTATTGTAAAGTATGTGGTTTATGAGCCTGAGCTGACTCCAGCACGAGTTCTCACTATTGTGGATCTATTTGATCACTGATGCTTTCAGAAGGCTCTGACTCTTTCAGTGCTGGGAGACAATTCCCTTTCCTGCTTTGCAGTATTATCCTTTCAATACAGACCCCTTCTTTCCATGCATGAGTGAGTCTTTACAGCCAAGACACTGGTGGGCTTTAAAGTCATTACTTCTCTTGGTAAGTAGCCAGAGTGATTAGCCTTTCTCACATTTCCCACTGTATCCTCTTTCTCATACATAACTCCAGGGCCAGTGGGAGATGGAGCAGCTGTGGGCTGGCTGTGAGCTGGGGCTCAGGACAGCAATGCCCCCATGTGCTGCCTGGGCTCTGCCAGCAGAGTGGGAATTCTGTGGTGGCAGAATTCTCTCTGTGTGTCAGTGTCACAGGAGAGGACTGTCACAGATCACTGCTGTGTCACACCTCCCAGCCTGGCTGGCTGGGGGATGTCACTGGGATGGCCTTCACAGCCAAGCCAAAGCAGGTCCTTGTGGGACCTACTGGTCAGGCCCCATGTGATGGAGGGATGTGCAGAACTCCCTGAAGCTGCAGCTGAACATAGCTGATGAAGGTCTGGGATAGCAGGAACAACTGTGGGATGTGAGAGCAGCTCCATTCCTGGTGTTTGGAATGGCAGCAGCTCGGTCATCAGAGCCCTGAGTTATGTTTAGACGTGTTAAGCTCCAGTAAGTGGTCCTCAGGATTCAGCCATGGTGAACTTCCAAGTGCTCTGGAAGCCACCTTTTCCTAATTTTCCCATATTTATTCCTGGGCTTCTCCAATACATTGGTTCCTGCCCCAGCATTGTGTTCTGTCTTGGATGTTTCTTCCCCTTTGCTGGTGTTCACTACCCACATATCTACAGAGATCACAATTCCACTGCTTTCTGCCTTCATTTTCCTAGACTAAACAACATTCCCTCAACAGCCCTGGAGCCTTCCCTGTGTGTCCCTAGTCTCTTGCACCATTCTCACAGAATCCCTGTGTTTTCCTCCCATGTTGTGCCATCACTCCAGAGGTATGGAGACAAGTCCCACTCCCTGTCTCTGCATGTAAAGACTAAGTACCACTTAGGTGGTGCTCAGAGGTGCTCTGGAATTTAAAATGCCCATGGCACGAGGATGGGCTCCAGAGGGTGGTGTGGGCTACAGAAAGGACCAGGGAAGCCAATGCTATTCAAGGCAAGCCCTTGACCCTGCCAATCCTAGGCCAACTCCCCAAACATACCAGCAGATGGTATCTTCCTGTCTCCTGAACCTCAGGGAAGCTGGTTGTTCTTCCGCAGCTCCACAACTGTTTTGGGAAGTGCTGGTTTCTGCTTGTGCTGCTTCCTGCACCAACCTTGGGCGCTGGTTTGCATCAGAGCCGACCTCTGCTGACCTCCTCCGTCCTGCAGCACTCAGGCCCTGCCTGCCCCACTCCTGTTTACGTCAGCCAGTGCTGCAAGGTCAGATCCCTGGAGCTGCTCTGGAAATCTACCCCCAGCTGCATTTTCTCTAAAGATGTTAAGATTAATTTTCTCAAGAGAATTCAGGGAAAAGCTTCTGTGGTTTTTGTGTATCGTTTACTTCTCTGGGACTTGTTGGACATTCTCCAGGGATTCCAGTCCTGCACTTCGAGTAAATATTTATTCCTTGTTATTTGAAGCGAAGGATGAAAGCCCCACCACACTCTCTGCACAGCATCTCCCACTGATTTGAAGGTGCTGGAGATTTTTAGTGCCATAAATAGACGTTGGGAGGGGGAGCTGTGAAACCCACGTGGTGGCTGCACAGGGCTGCAGTTGCGCAGGAAGGGATGTGAGATCTGCATTTACTGTGAGTGGGACACGGGCCCCACGAGCAGGGCAGGGGGCCAGCACATCGTTATCACTGAGTACAGCTGTTTCCAGCTGTTACATATACCTGCTGAGCTCTGAAGTGGACTCAGGGCCCTATTACCAAACCATGGGAATCTCCATCGCTGAGATGAAAATGGACTATTCTAATTAATTGTTTCCTCTTAGTTGGTGTCTAATTAAAGTTATCCTGAGTGAGCAAAGTAGTCATTAATTCCTCTATCCTCTAATTTGGTGGGAATTTTGGTAGATTGGAAAGGCGTGGCTGGACAGTAATCTCCCACTATGTCCATCCAGGTGTTTCATAACATTCTCCTAAATGCTGTTGGAATTAATTTCCCTCACTTTAAGGAATTTTAGTTCAAACATAGAACCAGCTCCTGCTGGTTCTTGATGTTTTGTCTTTTTGAAATCACTATGACGCTTGTACTTCTCCCTGCCTTTTATATGGATTGGATTATAGGGAAAGTCTTTGTTAGCAGCTTAGCCACTTCATCCCTAAGCTCATTTGTACCTCTGGGAGGAATACTGAGCAACACCAGGGGACACATTGGTGTGTAGAATCTGCAGAAAAGCTTCTGGAATCCAGGAAAAGCACTTGGTGGGGGGATCTGCCTGCCTGGCTCTGAGCAGCTCATTGCCTCCACTGCCTACTTATGGAACAGAGCTGCTGCCTCTGTGAAGGAGAGAGGCAGGAGTATCCTGAGAGCCACTCCCATGTTAGGGAAGCTGGATTGTGTTCTGGAAATGCTCATCTCTGTTTAGTGTGATGTTCTGCTCTGTGGGACACTGCTGGAAAAAACACACCTTGCAAAAATCCCTTCCCTCTCTCTTTTCCCTCTCCTCCTAATTTCTACCTTAACTTTGTGCTTGTCATCCTTTGTTCCTTTTCCTGGCTTTGCATTTGCCTTGATGGAAGAAAAATTGTTTGTTTGTGTAAAACCTGGAGCATTGCTCCATAACTGGCTCTGTTCTCCCTCCCTTCTGTTTGGTTCGTGGGCCTTTGCAGCAGGAATCATCTCACCCTCTGTATTTATACATTGCCCTGCACGTCAGTGTTACCATCTGTAATTCAAAGTGTAGCACTCACAAACCTTCTACTGGGAAGAAAATCCCACATACAATCAACTTTCTCCCAAGTTCTGCCCATGAGGTGGGCCCCTGTGGCTTTGCAAATATTTTGGGGAAGGACCACACTGACCTTGAGTTGTGATCACCCCAGAGACAGAAATAAACTCATCCCACTGTGGGTATTCCTCCCATCCTTTCTAAGGTCATAGTTTCCCACGAATAGATCAGTATGTGCCGTAACTAATGTGTGTCATCAGCCAACCTCAGCAGCCCAGTTTTCTGTCTAAATTTTTCTGTCTGACTTTGCATTCCTTCCCTACCCACTCCAGGACAGGCCTTTGCAATCCATAGATTTAATTACCTTAGAGATCCATAGCACTGCTAATGAACGTTTCCAAACAGTTATCTGGTATGATGCCATTGTACCACAGAAAATGGAGTTGTGCCCTGTACTATGGCTGAGAGCATTAACAAGATGACTCACCTTATGTCTCAGGCAAGCCCGGGCAATCTGCTAGTTGTGAGTGTCCCCACTGTCCTTGTCCTTGCAGTCCTCACGCTGGTCCCCTTCCCCAGACTGGGATTTTGCTGTGTCCTGCTCAGGCTCAACAGCCTTGTCAGAGCTGGCTTTCCCTGGGGGCGAAGGCTTGTGGTGTTCAGTGCCTTCAGCATCTTCACTTCCTTGCAGTTCAAGTGCCTGTCCCTCAAGAGCAGAGCTGTGGGTCACTTCTTCCCCTCCTCTGCTCACCAGCTGTCCTTGGTCTGCATCCAGTCTGTCTCCTGCTGCTGTGTCGAGCTTTCCTCCATGGCTGTTGGAAGAGTTCTCAGAGCACTCCTGTTCCGAAGCTGGCTGCTTCTCCAAGCCAGCTCCATCTACATTCATTCCCATGGGCAGTGACAAGGTCTCCTCACTGCCAGGCCTGGTGCCTTGCAGAGTGTTCTGAAGGCTGCTCTGTGAAGCAGTGCTGTCAGTGCTCTCCTCCCGGGAGACGTCAGCAGTGCCAGGCTTCCCATTGGCATCTTCCCCAACATTTTCCTTGCTTGGCTTGGGCCCTGGCTCTGAGTCCCCAGCACTGGCCACAGATACCTCTGTGCTGCAGCCCCTCACTCCCCTCTGCTCCTCCTTCTGGCCATTCTGGGCAGGCTGGACCTTCCCACTTTGCAGCTGCTGTGAGGAGGAGGCCCCGTGATCCTGGAGGCTTGGCTGTTTCCCCTTTTCCTCCAGCTCAGCTGTGCAGTTCTCTTCCACCCCCTCATCACCTCTGCTCTTCCGCCTGTCCACACCAAGGCTCCTCTGAGAAACAAAGGACATATTAAGTTCAGCTTATATATACCAGTATATTGTATTTCTTGTCTGTGATAGTTCTGAAAACTTGAGGAAAATAGATGTAAAAGGATGTAGGTGGAGAAGTGTTCAGGGACCAGAATAGGTGAGGTAGTTGTGCTGACAGAGGGTCAGTGTAAGCAGTGAAGCTGCTGTCACACCAGGCCACATGAGGAGTGTTAGTGGTGAGTACAGTTACCCAAAAACAGGTCTCCCAGCTCTGGAACAGATTAGAGATTACAGTTTTCCTGTGCATGTGTTTAGAAAACTCAGCTGCCAGCCTGCAACTCAGGAACTCACCTGGCCATCAAGGTCATCCTTCACAAGAGACATGTCCTCGCCTTCTTTTGCATCCCATCTGTCAAGAAAAAGTAATCAGAATTTAGGCCTTGAAGTTCTTACAAAGCCAGTGTCCCTTGCCTGACACCCAGACAGGGATTCCTTCCAGGGCCATGTATTCCTTGTCTGAGCCCCTTGTCCAGGCCTATCCAGAGACACTCATTTGAGACCACTAAATCTCAATGAACTAATTGTAATGGACACATGAACTCCAATTGCCAGAACAGACAGTTGAGTCAGACTAAGAAGACAGAGTTTGCTTGTGCTGATGCCTGCCACAGTCTGGTCCTGCTTGCCTAACAGTGCCCAAGTGTCCCAGGTCTCCACGACAGTAGACACAGAGGCAGATAATGAAGGCTAAAATTACTTTGAAGTAGCTTGGAAGTCAGAGTATTTACAAAGGCCTGCAGTGACAGGACAAGGGCCAATGGCTTCCCACTGACAGAGGGAAGTGTTAGGTGGGATATGCTTCCATGTGAGTGTGGTGAGGCCCTGGCACAGGCTGCCTCTTCATAACTAGGCAGGGACTGAGATGTGGACGTGCACACCATGGCAGTGCTGCCAGCTCCTCACCTTCTGGCTCTGCCTGTCAGTCTGTCCTTCCCCTTGGCTCGGCTGCTCACAGCAGGCACTGCTTTTGGACCAGGGTCGCTCACATTCACTCCATGATGTCCTCCACCTAGAAAACAGGTTGGAAATGCCATGCAAAAGCAGGCAGAAGCAGCTGATGGACCACTGAACAGGCCAACACCCTTGTAATCTTGGACAGGATCTCTGACGTGGGAAGCCTTTGAAGCTGTGTGCATACTGCATGTATATTTTCTAAAGTAATGAAGACAAATCAAGAATCCAGGGTGTTCCTTTTGTGTTTTTTTTTTAATTCTAAATTCCAATTCTAACTTTAAATCTTATTCCTTGGATAGAGTCTTACTTGTGTTGTTCTTGGAAAACTTCTCCCCTGCACACAGCTATGAGAGCAGCCATGTGGTATGTTCCAAAAGGCTCTCAAAATCTGCAAGTGTCTGGAGAGATCACTCTCCTGAGGGATAGCAGAGGTGCTGGCATTTAGTGGGGTGACATAACACAATCCTGTGGTTCACTCACCTCTCCCATCCGCAGGAAAGGACCTGTGCTGGAATTTCCTTGCATTCCTTCCCCCTGCAAGGACACAACAAAGGATGCACCGAAGTGAGTGAGAGTCTGTAATGGACAGACAGCAAATAGCCTCATGTTCAAATAGGGTGTCATGAGGGAAAGCTTTGTTTTGTCAGTCCATCTCCTGAGAAACAGGAGTCAGGATGGACTTATGCTCGTAAAGAAGCCAGCATGTGCCACAGGGATCAGAGATGATGTGCTCTGGAATAGGACTGCCTCTTAAACGAGTGTGTGGGAAAGGAGGCAGGGCTGCGCCTCCACACTGTGTTGTACCAGCTTACAGAAGCCACTGCTCTCCCTGGGAAGGTCCAAAGCTCTAGCACCCAGCTGCTCAAATCCCATCCCCCGAGCCCTCTGCCCAGCAGGGAGGGCTGAGCCCCCAGCTCAGAGGCGTTTGCCCAGGAAAGCAGAGCGTCACAGCCGACAGCCACGACAGCTGCTGTGGCACTGGGATGTGCACGATCAGCGTTCACTAGCATCAGGACAGAGTCTAGGTGTCCCTTGCCAACCTTTCTTACTGCTGGGATTATCCAAGGCTGGCTCCCCATCCTTAACAAAGTCCTCTTCAAACCTGCAGGTTAAAAACAGGCATTGTCAGACCTGACCATCCTCCTCCAGTGTGCAAAGCATGGGCAGGAGCCCTTGGCACGATGCAAGCTCCAGCCTTTGGCCCTTCTGCACCTGCCCACAGGCAAACCTGTGCAGGTTTCTCAGCAGCAGCTGAAGCTGCATGGGCTGAGGTTGTGAGTTACTTCTACCCCAAAGAAGAACCTCTAAAACCTTTACATCAGTACCCATATGTATATATTAAATGTTTTGAACCTCCTATAGATGTAGGGTAGCTGTACTACACTCAAATGCAGCTTTCCAAGCTTCCAAATACAATCTGAAGTAGCTTCAGGATTTGTCATCTCAAATCAGACCATTTGGTTGGCTTCTAGTCCTGCTTGTTTCATATTATGGCTTTTCTCTTAAAAATGGATTTTTGGAAAAACAGGAGGGCTCAGGGCTGTTTTGACATCAATACTCAGCACCCACTTAAGTCAATTTACCCCTAATGATTGGGGTCTCAGCAACTGAAAACTGACATGTTTGGTTCCATTCCTCAGCCAAAGGATTGTCCCACCTATCTGTCCTGTGCAAACTGTTCTATCACCAAACCTTGTAACAGTCCCTAGCTCAGCACCCTACCAGAAGCTTATCCTGCTACAGGTGCCAAGTCATCCTCCAAAGCTCTCTAGCTGGTGTGACCCAGCTGAACCAGCACAGTCAGAGGCACAGTGATTCAGGCAGGGACATGTCCAGCCCCATTCCCAGCTGTCCCACATCACTGTTCTCAGCATTTCCCTGTATGACACAGGTGGCCTTTTGAAGTGAACCCCTTGCCCTGCAGTGCCCGAACAGGCTCAGTTTCTGGAGTGGGGAGGACTTAGGCATGTTGGGCTCTCCTGTGCTTGAAAAGGACAAAGAAGTGGGGGCAGTTAGAGAACCTGTGGACTAGCAATGCAAGTTCGTCCATCCACATTTCTGGAATAGCACCTCCTGCCATTGGATTTGTTTGTGTGAAAATAGAGAGGATCCTCCAGATGCAGACAGATCCTTGGTTCATGCTCCCCTCCCTCCTACAGTCCATACCCTGGTTGGACCAAAGGCAGGCAATCTTTGTCAGCACATTGTATCCCCTCTCAGGAGAGCTCATATCAGGAAGAAAACATGAGAATCACTGTGATACCAGATCCCACTTATTGGCATGGTCTGGGGAGGAAGAGGCAGCAGTGTGGATTTGGTCAGGCACATGATGGCATGGGATTGATAAGTATCTGCACAAGATCCCACCACTGGCTTTAGGCCTGCTGCAGGCAAAGCACCCTGGGACAGGGAAGGACCTACATGTGCTCCGACTTCTCCACATCCCAAGCCCGTCGCCACTCGCCCTTGGCGTTCTTGTGACGCGCCAGGCGCTCCAGGTCAATCTGGTCTCGCTCCCTCTTCCAGCGGATGTACTCCGAGCGCTCCCGGCCAGTCATGGGGAAACTCACATCTCCAGGACTCTTCTGGACTGGCTTCCCACCATCCTAGGAGGGAAAAGAGCTTCAAGTTAATAAAACTGTCTGAAACAGCTGCATTCGGGGTATTTTGTACTGTCACCACCACAAATGCTCAGGAATATTTGAAAACAACTCGTGACAAGGTCAGCTCCTTTCTCTGAAGTGATGTGTGCACACCAGGACTCTGCTTTACTCAAAGCCTAAATACACTGGGGCTTTTTGGCTCTACAGAAGGGAAAACTGAGGCAGGAACCTTTGCTAAGGTTTACTTATGGCATAGAGTCAGTTCCTGGAGTGCTTGCAACATCTCTCAACAGGGTTTGAATGATGAGTCCCCCAACCTGAAGGTTTTGGGATACATAAATTGAAGTTATGCTGTGAAGCCCTTCGCAGTGAGAAGGCAGGGAGGGAAGGAAGCCAACCTTGTGTGACCACCAGGCATCCACAGGAGCCCACAGCCACAGAGCTCCAGCCAACCCTGTGCTCAAGAGGAGCATACCCAGAGCAAAGGGGCTCTTTACCTTCACTGATGTCAGGCTCCTGGTTTATCACTCCTCATGACAGACTGGTTAAGGGCTGACACTGCTCAAAAATTCAAAGCTTAATGGAAAGACAATTCAGAGCTGATGGAGCATGTGGGGGGGAAGTAGCCCAGCTGTCAGGTTAATGGATGAGGTGGAAGCCGGAGCCGACAGGCTGTGGTGTGTTGTCAAGCAACAGTGTGTAGGGAGTAGCTTAGTGCAGGGCTGAGTCCTGGGGTGCTAATTACCAGCAGATAATTCATCACCTCATACACATGTCCTTCCATGCCAGCCACCCTCACACCTTCCCCAAAGAGGAATTAACTCCTGAGCCTTGCACTGCGGATAAGAGAAACAGCAGGAAGAAGGGACTGAAAGCCCTGTTACCAAGGTGACTCACCTGCGTGGGCTGGAGCTGGGGTGGCACCAATTGCTGCTCCATTCCTCAGCTGGCAGGAGCTGGGGACCTGACACTATGTCCCCAAGGAGGGAGAGAGGAGAGGGTCCTGCCAGGATGTGGGTCCTGCCAGAATGGACCCTGATGCATCCATAAAGCCAAAAGCAAGGGAAGGACTGAGGCTGATGCTTGTGCTCTCTTGTGGGGAGAGGCAGAAATGGTTGGGGGCCTATGGAGCAGGAGGAGTCGGTCCCTCTCCTCAATTACAGTGTAGCTGTGGTTAGCTGGACCACAGGCTATCATGCTCCCCCTTCCTGCTCTGGGGGGCTCAGCTGGAATTAGTGTCTAAGAGTCCATCTGTGCCCTCCTAATGAATCACACTGAGGTGGGGTTATTCTATTTGTGCTCCATTAATTAAAGCATCTGCAGGCTCGAGGGAGCCAGCATGTCTCCAGGCTTTGCATTAAACAGTCAGTGGGAAGGCCTGTGCTTTAATTTACCTCCATCCTACTCAGCTCCTGCTAAAGTGAGGAGCTGTAGCTAATACAGCTTGGGCTTTTCAATCCACAAGGAAATGGTTTTGGGAGACGAAACAGCCAAAACTGTGCTGCCACAGGGGTGAGCATGTTACCCTTCCTAACATCCTTATGGCTGTGTGAAGGGCTTGAGCAGCCATGATAAGATGTGGAGGCAAGTCCTTGTCACCTTTCCAGTGCTGCTTGCTCCAGGTGTGTCAGCTGCTCAGCAAAGCTTTGTATGACGAGAGTGATGAACAGTGGGAGCCATGTCAGAGCACAATGCTGCTTCACAGAATTACAGGATGGTTTGGGTCTCAAGAGACCCCAAAGGTCATCTTCCTTTAGGATTATGGTAGGAAGGCACATTTTACTGATTACCTCTTCCAAGACAAGGGTGCCCACAAAAGTACCTGGGCCCCACTCACCTTCCGGCTGTGCTCACTTTCTGGGCCTCTGTCACTGTCTGATCTCCTCTTCTCTGCTGTTCTCCGCTCTTCTCCCTGCAAGAGAATGGACACAGGAATTATTCAAGGATTAAGCAAGGATTCCTGGCAGGAGAATCAGGACCTGAACCTATGCCGACCAGGACATGTAAGGACTTCTCAGAAAAGATCAGCAAAAGAGAAAGGATTTTTTCTGGGGCCCCAAATCAAACTGATGTAGAAAAAAAAGAAGTCAGAAAGCAAGGGGTGCACGAGAAAAGCATTCCCACGGGTCCCTGCTTCTCCCAGGCTGGAAGCAGAGTGCTGTCCTGCATGGTCCTGTCTCTTTCCAAGGCAGACCAAGTTTCAACAGAGTGCTGTCCTGTCTCTTTCCAAGGCAGACCAAGTTTCAGGTACATTTACAGATTTGGGTCATTTTAGAATTCCACTGTACAAGACCTGGATAGCTACAAACAGCAGCTATCTGGTGCAGCTACAACCCAGCATGGTCAAACTAGGAGTGATTTCAGCCCCTGGCAAACATGGCATCCTTCTACCACAGTCCATCCCTGCTCCCATCGGGTTTACCCATGCTGCCACCAGATTGGCAAGCTCTGCTCTGGTGTTGATATTCCCCAGCCTGGCAGGAAGTGACAATCAGCTTCTGTTTCTTAGTGAGCTACAGGCACCAAACACGGGCCAAGCCAGGGGTTCTCTGTCCTCCATGTGATGAATAATCGAGACAGAGCCATGTCAGAGGCCAGGGTGGGATTGCAGTGGGTCTTAACAAAACAGTCTGCAGAGCATAAAGATCTTTTAGGAAAGGCTTCCTGCCTGGCTGGACAGCTACAGGACTGGGGCTGTGGGGAGCTGAGCTTGTCCTGCTGCCATTTTGCAGTGCCAAGCAGAACTGAAACACAAAGAGGAATGTGGCAGCATGAACTGCCAGCTCAGCCCTTCCAGAAAGCAACAGCGTGGTGACGTCCAGCCCAGGCTGGAAACAGGACTTTTATTCTGTGCATTCACCAGACACAGCTTTAGTTTTACAGGGAAACTTGGGATATCACTCTTGATACCTGCAGCTCTGCCCAGTCTCCTAAGGCAACTCATGCTGCTGCAGCTTGTTCTCATGTACCCCACGGAATCATGCAGGGGATGAGCTGGGGACACACTTTTGGGGAATTGCCCACACATGCTAAGTCTGAGGCAGGTGGGAAATGTGGCCATACAGCTAATGGACTGTCATTGTACTTGGTGCATGACAGCTTCACTGGTCTGACTCATAGCTCCAGTACAGATGGAGTTTTGTTCAAACAGATCCTTGGAAATAACAAGGAAAATTTTAGCTATATTGTCCTGGGATTTCTCTGCAAAGATATGGGAAAAATGCAGAGGGGTCTGTGCTCAGAGAAGCTGCCCCTCACCATATCCTGCCTGTTGCAAAAGGGGATATGGTGAAAGATGACACTGGGGACTTATTTCAAAATGTTGCTGTGAAAACTTATATAACCAAAAATGCCCCCTCTGGACTCAAAGTCACCTGCTCTGGCAGCCCTGTTTGAAGAACCCTGTAGTGAGAGATTGAATGACTCTCTGCAGTCCCAAACTGAGCATTTCCTGAGAGATTAAACAGCAGAAATCTGGAAACTTTGCTCTCCCAGAGCCCTATATCCCAGTGGCTGTCCCATTTGGAATGCTCGCTCATCAGTGCCCACCACAAACATGGGTGACAGAGACACTGCACAATCCTTCATCCTTTTACACCCTCACTGCAAGCCAGCTGCCTTTAGCCTTAGTCTGCTTCTATTTTTGCTTCTCAGAGGGCACTGTGGAAAATGGAGAAGACCACAAAAATGCAGTTCTTTTGTACCAGGACAGCAGGTCTGAGCTGTGCAGAGAACAGTCAGTTTGGATCTTGCAGTGGCTCAGGAGCAGAATTCCTGTTGTCCTGCTGCCCCAGAGCTGCTCCTCCTGTTACCACACACCCAGGCCAAGAGGGAGCAGAACATGTTTTTCTTTTCCTTCTTCCTCTCTGCCCCCAAAATTAAGAAAGATTACATGGACGTTATCATTCCTAGTGTAACTGTTCCTGCAGAGCAGGAGGAGGACACAAAAGCCTGAAGCAGTCAGGGAAGATTTTTATTGTTTATCCTGAGGTTTCTGCCAAGATTTCTCAGTTTCTCAGTCCAGAATGGCCCAGGGTGGGGCCCAAGGTGGGGCAGAGCCTGCTCCAAAACAGCCCTGGGATCCCAAATGCCTTCTGCCACTGGGTCTTTCTGACTCCCTGGCATACATGTTCCCAGCTAATGTCACTGTGCAGTGGTGACAGTACTGATGCCATTATCCAGCCAAGCACTGGTTTGTACTAGCAGTTCTCCAGAAGCTTTGACAGGCTTCCACATCTCTGGGCTGGTTCAACACCTTCTTTTTTTAAAAATAAGGACTATCAGATGAGTTAAACAAACCTTTCGGTACCCACTTCTCCAGGCACGTGTCAGCACCACAACTGGCATCTCTTCTTGAAAAAATGAGGAGATTTTTGTAGGAGCTTAAAGCCTTTTTTTCTAGTGCTCAGATTTCCCACTGGGCAGGATTTTTGAAACTAGTACATGAGAGGATTTTTTTATAACTCTTTTGAAAAATCTGCCTCCTTAATTGTGCTGCCTGAAGGGAGCTAAAGACTTTTCAGCCACCCTCTCTGCCTATTTTCCCCTCCCATCTGCAATGTAAAAGCAAGTGTTTCTCCTGCCACAGGTTTGGTTCCTCTCCTCTGCAAGTACCAAGTCCGACTCCTCTGTGTTAGTCCCTGAAAGCAGCTTTTTTGTCTCTTGATTACAGTCATTTCTGATACACCATCCTGGGAAACTCTGTTAATAAAAGGACAATTTAAAAGCCCTGAAGCTCTATCAACTGCCCATTTAAAAGATGATTTGTAACCTGTTAATTAACCATTGTGCTCCATTGGTCCTGGGCTGCTGGCTCCCAGCTCTAATGTACTAATGAGCCTGAAACACTGCCAAAGCATGGAGTGGCTTTTTAGGGCTAAAAATGAAGGATTGTCTCCAGCCCTACATGCAGGAGAGCCCTGAGGCAGGTTTAGGGGCAGCCAGGCAGAGATGGGTCCCAGATGTGGCACTTCCAAGCCAGCAGCAGCACTGGAGGTCATGAAGCTGCAGCAGTAGAGCAATGGACTCTGCAAGGAGACAGGATAATTTGGTTCCTTCAGCACTGTGGGCTAACAGAGAGTGAAAGAGTCTTTCTGCTTATGGCACTGGAGCTGTCTCAGAAAAGGAGATCATGAAAGCATCTTTTTTCCCTTGCATTTCCTCTTTGGTAGCTCCTGTCCCAGCTCTGCTGCAGTCTGGGACTGACAGTGTGGGGTTAGCCAGAAGCACCACGGGCAGCAAGAAAGGGAGCAGTTTTCCTCTTTGGGGATTTTTTTGTTGTTGTTGTTTTGTTTTGTTTTGTTAGTTTGGGCTTTTTTTCTTTATTGAATTTCATCAAGAATAAAAATAGAGAAACTGTGTGGTAATGAGGACACCCATCAAATACTTTAATTGGATACATTTGACACATGCACAGAGGAGGAAGCAAATTTGACAGTGGCCAGGCTACTAGAGGGGGAGTGATGGATGTGATTCTTTCTCCTAGGCTTTTGTGGGAACCCCAAAAGAGCAGGGAACCAGCTGGAGCACAAGGTAAAAAGGCCCAAAGGATGAACCATGCTAGGATTAATGAGAGACTGAAAGTTAATCCTTGAATCAGGGGTCCCAGCTCAGGTTCTAATACACAGCTAGCCAGCCGACAGCACTGACACCCCACCAGGCTCTCCAACAGCTGATCAATATGGGGATGAAAATGAAGTTTCTCTTTTAACAACTGATTAAAGGATAGAAAAGAAAAAGTGGCAAGAAAATGGTGGTTTCCATGGCAGAAGATTAGCAGGAGTGTGCCACTGGAACATGGGCTGCTCAACATGCTCATAAATGGTCTGGAAAAGGAGCTGAAGAGAGGGATGACAGTTTGCTGATGATACTAAATCATCCAGGGCAAAGAATGTAATTTGCCCGGAAAGAGCTGCGAAAGATCTCTTGACATTGAATGCCTGCATCATAAAATTACAGCTGAAATTCAATATCAGTAATACAAAATAACTCACACAGAGAAAAATGTCCCTTCTTGTATACACACACACACAGTAATGAGTCCTGAGCTATGATTAACAGTCAGGAATGAAATTTTGGTGTTACAGTGACTAGTTCTCTGAAAATGTTAGCTCAATTATTTAGGGAAAAAAAAAAAAAAAGCAAAGAAAATGCAAACTTGTTGGGAGAAGAATAGAGAACAAACCAGAACATTGTTATGTCACTGAGTACATCCTGGAGAGCCCGCAGCTGGAATACCATGTGCAGTTCTGGTCTACTTGTACTGAAAGAATATGGTAAAAATAACAAAAGCACAAATGGGACAATGAGAATGATCAGAAATAAAGAACAGTCCTCAGCAGACAAATGTAAATAGGAGCAATCTCTTAAGTTACGTGAGGTAGCTGAAGGGAGACATGAAACAGGTCAATAAAATCATTTGTGCTTTGGGAAGTGACCTGGGAATGATCTATTCACTACTTCCCCTGATACAGGAACAGCAAATGGAGCTGTCAGGGAACAAGGCTGAACAAGTCTAGGATTCTAAGCTTCCATGATTCTATGGCTTTAGCTAGTGCAGCCTTAGGCCCACCCTCATATGCTCTAAATCCAGATGATTTGAGGCCACTATGACCAATGCATTGCCAAAACTAAAAATATGGATGCTCAGCCTCAAATTTCATATTCCATAATAAAACCAGATAAGAAATGACCTTCCAGGGCAGTCCATACACTTAAGAGAGCACAGGATCTAAAGGCAACATCCAGGCACTCCTCCTGCTGCTCTCTCCTAGTACAGCCCCAACCCTGATGACCTCAGAGACAAGTGTTTAAACAGGCCCAGCAGAGAGTAGAAGATGACACTTGCCTGGCACATTACAGCAGTACATTTGACAAGCTTAAGGGCAGAAACAGCACAGTCAGGTCAGTCCCATTACATCCAGGAATGTTGGTGATGCCCAGACTGAAGCAGTGATGTCTGTCATGGGGACTTTTGGGGTTACCAGTGGCTCATTTGCCTGCTCTGGGATTACCAGTGGCTCATTTGCCTGCTCATAATCAGGCAGATCATTTGAGGTTTATGGCATTCAAAACACTGCTTGGCAGCCATGAGAAAGGAACACCTGAGCTCCTGGAGACTAGGTAAGCCCTGGGGAGAAGGAGAAGCTGAAGATGAGCATGGGTAGTAGCAGCAAATGGTTGGCACTATTCCAGAGAGGGGCTGCAGATGTCTCCCAGCATTCCTGGGTGTGTTTGGTAGCTATACCAAGTGTTGTTTTCTTACACAGTCTTTGCTGACCCTATTTGCTGCAGGCATTCTTTCTTATCTGTGAAAGCTTCCAAAGAGGAAAATAGCACATGCCTCTGTGTGTGTAAAGAGAAAGGTATTTGTAAAGAAGTATTTGAAATATGTTTCAAAGATTAACAAAGTTCACTCAGCAGGTGATGGCCAGGCACAGCAGGATGTGGTTCAAAGGCAGATATAGCCAGCCCTGTTAAGGTTTAAGTCGTGCAGTGAGTCAGGAGGACACTGCTCCTGTCCCAGTCTGCTGAGTGGCTTCAAAGAAAGTTGGTAAGAGACAAGGTGAGATTCACGCCCCATATCTGGCAGTGCTTTCATCAGTCCTTCCAAAGCAACATCTGTTTATGAACTCAGTGTGTTTAGGAGGCTTCTAGCTTTAGCTAGGATCTCAGGGGAGGGAAAAGGTCGTGGCTTTCTTCTTTCACAGGGATGGAAGGCAGAGATACGGAGAGAAGCTGCACTATTAACATAGAGTGTCTCCCAACATCCTGTGGCTAGGCTCTCCTCATGCCAGCAGAAGTGGATGCCATGGATAGGTTACAGGCCAGTCACTAGCACTGTACTTACCTTTTCCTTGTTGTCCATGGTGATGGCAATCTGCATCCTCCTTCCCCGTCGGAAAGCCACCAAATGATCCGTCTCCTCCTCGCTCAGGTCCGGCACTCGGCCCGGGCCAGGGAAGCTCTCGGTGCGTTTCTCGCTGACGATTCTCTTGCCCTGGAAGGCACAGGCTGAGTTAAGGACACCTCCATTAGCTCTCCTAGGAGAGTGGCCATCCCAAACTGCAAAGGGCTGGCAGAACAGAAAATGAGCCGAACAGTCAGTCCCCTTGGCTTATAAAGCTGCCACCCCGCTCTAAGGGATCTGTGATATTACAGAGGTGTGTTTAGCTGAGCACAACATCAGCAGGGTGGGATTTACCCTGCTCGGATAATCTGCAGCATGAACAATGAAGGATGGTTTTATTTTAAGCTTGCGTCTCTGTCTTAGAAACAAATGTGAGGTTGTCCCCTCCCCATACAATATGTCCCAGTAAAATGTGAGGCTGCCTTAGAGCTTAAGCCTAGAAGGTGGAGGAGAAGGAGAACAGTGGGGATCCTTCTCTTCAACCTTGTCCACATAGCAGTTACTCCCCTGAAGTGTATTAGCACTTGATAATTCATCATTTCATAGTCATTGTGTGTTTGTATTTCTGGAATTATTTATTCAGCAGTGGAATACTTAAGAAACCTGATATATAAGCTCCTTGAGTAAGGGCAGTTTACCCCTCTCAGATACTATTTACAGCTGTCTGTATTAGTGTCATGACTTCACTACATGGATTTACATCTGTTTCTTATTTTGTTAATGATCTTTGTTGCTGGCTGATGTCCTGCCAGTGCCCTCAGCCATCAATTCCACAAAATGAGCACATCTTTTGTACAAAAAGATACTCATACTTTTTTTCATTTAAAAGTATCATCTTTCAGGCCAGTCATGTGCCTTTTTATTTTTGCCTTACAAGGAAATGAGAGACTGAATAAGTGATACCCATCATTATCTCTGATCTTTTTCTTTTCTTTTCATCCATATGAAGTCTGCTCAACTTCACCAGGGATGAAGGAACCTCAGCAGCTTCCCTCTCTAAAGGATGGTGCATTTTACTCTGTTTTCCACCCTGGGCTTTCACATTTACTGCAGTCTTGATTTAAAAGGTACTCAAAATCTCCAAGGAAACTTTAGTGAAACTTGGGAACTCTTTGTTGCTATGAAATTGTTTTTGAACAAAAAACCAAAAAGCACACCCTGATTTGTAGGGAAGACATGCAATCAGGGCCTTTGCCATGACATGTGATACCAAGAAGCCTCACATTAACCTCATTTTCCCTCGGCTCTGCCAGGAGTGCAGATGTTAGCGAGGAGAGAGCCTCGCTGTTCACAGCCTCCATCAGCATGACCTTTTTTATGGCTTCTCAGTCATCGGGCTTCCTAGCACATGATGAATGTTTTAGGAGACACTGGAGTATTTCCAGCAGCAGAACCTCAGTCTCTTGTTTATTCATCTTTCACATTTGTGTGATTTTGCTGTTTCAGCAGAGATAGTTCTTGAGTCAGCCTGATGCAGGGGAGAGGAGTGGTCTGGCTCTGCCTGTCCTGTCAGCCCCAGATGAACAGACATGATGGGAACCTTGTTACATATTCCCTTGGGGATTTCTAGCTCTGCTTTTGGATTCAGTATTTCTAGGCTGTACTGCTGAGGTTAGAGACTGAACTGGAAACTGGCCTGGCTCTGCCCTACCCAGAGCACTGGTACGAGGTGTTTGGCGTTGTACTTAACATAATTTTTTTATTAAGAAAGTAAGCCCAGGGATGGTTTAGAAGGCAACAGCAAGCTATTAATCCACAAGTTGTACATCAAGCATTTATTCATCTTAAGTCAACAGCTGTTCCCTAGAGCTCTTCAGTGTTTAGGTGTTAATGGCTCATCCTTTAGACATGTAACAAGGTCACAGATGCCTCTTGCCAGGGAGGTCTGGCACTGGGAGGATATTTGAAGGTGATTTCATCACTTGCTGTCTGAGAAAGTCCCTCGTGAGACCCAACACAAAGAGACTTGTGCCCAAACACCTCAAGCACAACAGAAGCCTCAAAGTACATCACTGGATTACAGGGAGGTGACACCATCCCTGGGCTACTGGATGTTAAAAGGCAAGGTGTGAAGGCTGGTGCTGGCAAAGCCTTTAAACCCTGCATTTATGGAGCAGATGGCAAGGAAGACTCAGAGGAAATACAGGAAACAGCTATTTAACAGAGATGTGGTAGCTAGACACATCCAGGCTGGGAGACCACCAGATTTTCTGTGTAATACCCTTTGCCTTCCCTCCCTTTACCACTCCTTCCCTCCTTTCTTCTCTCCCTCCCCATTTTGCTTCTGGCTAAGCTGCCTTGCCTGAAGGCACAATCTGCTCAATGTATCTGCTGACATGTGTCTTCTTTCCTTGTTTCCTATTTTAACAGTCTGGGTGACCTCCCAGCCTGCTTGTCCCATGTTGGGAAATCCTGGTCCTTGATGCCCCAGCTCCCAGAGTGAGAGATGTCATATGAGGAGAGCACCCATGCAGAGCCAACAGGGACAGAGAGCAGGTTTACAGCCACAGTGCCTGGCAGAGCCAACTCCTCCCCTCCACAGGGCTTGTCCTGGGTCATTCCCTGCCTGACAGAGATCTGGGACTCTGGCACCAGCTCTTTAGCTTAGTCAGAACTACACCACTCCCCATACAGAGTCACTGTAAGGTGAGATGTGTCCATTTCATGTCTGAGGCAAGCCCCAGATTGCAGAGGCAGTGTTAAAAATACTCATCAGAGGTGTGCCAGAAAAAAGAACAGGGGAACAAAGGAAACCCCTGGACTTCTGTCCAGTTTGTGAAACTTCCCAGCTGACTTGCCTTTGGGGCATCTTGCTTGACTATGATGTAGGTTATTGATGATTGGATGTGAGTGGTTTTCTGCACAGCTGAGGATCCCTGGTGCTGGGACCTTGCAGTGGTCACAGGAAGGACGGTGGTGCCTCATTCAGTCACACCAGTGTCACCAAGCAAGCCCCTCTTTCCAGGCACAGCAACACAGTTTAACACAGAGTGGCCCAGGAGGGCAATAAGGTGATTAATCCCTCAGAAAGGGAACTGGTTCCACCTGGCTGGGTAGAGGGGTTGCTGAGGGGGTTAGCAAGGCCTGAGGGCTGATTCCTGGGAATCAGATATAGAGAGGGAAGCATGTGGTAGCTCTGAGGTTGTGCTGAAGAACTGTGAAATGAGAGGAAACACACAGTAAGGGAACTATTCCCTTTGGATGTGGCACGCTGGACAGAAAGCTCAAGTGAGAGGCAGAACAGAAGCCCCTTTGTAAGTCAAGAGGCTGCAGTGTAAGAGCAATCCTCTTCCCTACTCACCTTTGCTTTGTTGTCCATGGTAACAGCCAGCTGCATCCTCTTCCCCATCCTGAATGTGAACATATGATCTGCTTCATCCTCCTCCTCGTCTTCCTCACTGCCAATGCCAAACCCAGGGCTTGTAGGACATGGGCTTCCCCATTTCTCACTCACCACCCTTTTGTCCTGGAAAATGAACCACTTCCATTAGCAAATCCAGACCCTTGACTCAGGGATGTGATTCCCTTCCCCAAACACACCTGCACACAAGCGGGAAGGCAGCTACAGAACAGCCCTTGCCCCCAGGAAGTTCTCTGTGCCCAGCACACTGCTGTGACATTCCTGGGGAACAAGGGGCTTGTTGTCTGCTCAGCAGCAAAACCCACAAAGACAGCAGGGCTGAAAAATCCTTTGCACTTACAAATCTGACATTTCAGACTAAAATGCCAGAGTTATGGGAAAGAAATGCCATCCTCATCTCTTTCTGCAGCACACTGAGTTAGCTTGGGAAAGCCTAAGTCCTGCTGAAGGTGGCCTTGGAAGCCAAGTGGATGGCTGAGGGTGGTGCTCACCATCGAGAGGGCTGGGCTATCTTGTCCATAGTGTTCAGTCTGGGTAATTGCATCTTTCAGGTCCTGTATGAGAGAAAAATGTGTGCAGCAGCGCACCCCGAGAGAGGCGAGGGCCGTGGCCAGGGTGGGACAGGAGCAATGCACTGGCCTGGATCCAACAACCCAGAGTGCTGAAAGCAGGGTGGGCTGGCTCAGCAGGCTCTGCATGAGCTCTGGCAGAGTTCACCAAGGGGTTAAGGCAGGACTGGCTTCCCAAGCCCCACGCTGCCAGGATGGGTGGACAGAGCTTATCAGATTTGGTCCAGTTAGGAAGGAAACTTGGGACTCACAGCCTCTGGCCCGGGGCCACTTGCTTTGCTCACTCCCAAAGCCTAAGGAGATCATAAGTTTTCCCAGCCTATGGCATTCTCAGAGGCACTCCTGATGCCTCCAGTGACACACACACATGCACCTGATATACTCTGCCTACATACTTACAGTGATACTGGCACCTGGGACATGTCCAGGGCCAAGTGTGCCTGTCCACACACCCAGTCATCTGCCACTTATGTCTTTGTGCATGGGTAGAGGTGCCTGGGCATGGCTGGAACTGTATGTGCAGCACCTAAAATCACTCTGATCACACATCTCTGCAGAATTTACCCACACTTTTCAGGGCTTAGGATGTATTTCCTGTGCCTCAAAGAACTTTGTTGTGGATGGTCTCTCAGAAATGCCACTTTGCAGCAGGAAGACTGGAGTGAGAGCTGGCCTGTGGTGAAGGAGAGGCACCACTTACGTTGTGAGCTTTGGTGATGGTAATAGTGAGTCCATCCTGCTTGGGCCTCCTGGAGGTAACAGCCATTCCCTCCTGTTCTGCTCGCTTTTTGTCCTCTTCTATTTCCTGAAACACAGATACCCCTTATCACAAGCCTGTACCTGGATGCTGTTCATTTTCCTGTTTAATTCTGCTAAACAGACCCACCTCCACCTCTAAGAGGGAGTGCACCAACTTGTGTCCCAGTTATGGGATGCAGGCAGAGGAAGGTGGCAGTGGGCAAGGAGATGCTGCAGCAGTTCAGCAAGTGTCAGTGTCTGTTCTGCAAAGCAACTCATGACTTGTAGTTAAAGGCTAAGGTAAAGCCTAAGCTAAAGGCAGAGCTCTGCCCATCTGCTCCAAGTGTTTCCAATATAAACATGGTATCTGTGTAACATAGTCATTCTGACTGCTGACAATCTTCTTTACACTGAGAGCTGGGGAAGGTAAGGACCTGCAGACTCACCTGGTACCTTCGTATCAGTGCTTCGTTTTTTTTCCGCAAAGCCAAGATTTTCTTATCAAGTTCAACATCTTTCTGCTCTTTCTTCCTTAACACAGCATCATCCACAGCAGCATCCTGGAAACACATGGAGCAAAGCTGTTCTCAGTCATCTTACCAACAGGATGAAACCTGCTCCTTCTGTCTGGACAGGGTGGGAAGTGAAAGAGTCTTTCCCATCACTTCTCCCTGAGTTTTTTCCTGACAGAATTCACCTTTCCTTTTCTTACAAATTTTGTTCAGCAATGAGGTTGTTTGAGCAAAGCGCTGCTGCCCCACTTTGACAGCTGTCAGTGGGCTCCAGAGTTAAACCCTGCTTATCTGCATGCAGTACATGACCCTCACTTTTGCGTGTTCTCGGGCATGGAGGAGGTGTGCTGGATATCAGACATCAGTGAGGGAAAGGCAGCAGAACCTGCTTGTGACACAGACCGCAGCGCCTGTGCCAGCCCATCTCCACTCTGGTGTCCCCTGTGAGGGGTATCTGATCTAACAACCCCTGCCAAGGGCTGTTCTGCCAGGACACAGGCACACATCTGTGTCCAAGTGGGACAACAAGAACATTTAAACTGCCTCCACACATTCTTCTGCTGGACAATAGGATTTTGTCAAGATCTGTGGGAAACAAATGGCTTTTCCATTGCCATTCATCATCGGGTATGCGACAGGTGAGCAGATTGCTTTTGTGGGTGGATACAGTTCCATGGGCATTTTGCAAGGCTGATTAAAGCCAAATTCGGTGTTTACCTGAACAGTAGCTGTTCTGGGAGCACTAAATTGGCAGGTTCGCTGTTTACCAAGCTCTGGGGTGTTGGCTGCTGAGGGTGGGATCAAAGTGTGCATGCCCTCAAACACACCCCTTTCATCTTCAGATTCTTTTGAAGGAGAACTGGCAGAGCTGCCGGCTTGAGAAAAATTTTTTAAAATTCCTGCAGAGGTTGTATTTGCGCTCTTCTCTTTTCAAAGCAAAAAAATAGAAAAGGCCTGTCAGGCTATTCTGCCTCTGCCCATTTGTCAGCATTTTGTCTACGCTGCAAGACGGCTGGTACCGGGGGGAGGGGGTCCTTCCATTTCCTGCTGGAAACAAGTCACTGGAAGGAAAGTTTGCTGGTGTTCAGCACTTCTCCTCCCTTTTATTAACAAAGCCATTAAGGTGTTTCTCTCTGCACAACCTGTTTCAGCAAATGCTGGCAGCTGTGGGCGGGAGGGGTCACTCACCCGCACACCCGGGCCCCGTAGCCGAAGAGCTGGGCAGCGTGTGGAGCCCACGCTCAGCTCCCAGGGGCTCACCCATTGTAGACTTCAGCCCAGTCAGCGTTTGCTCGTCAGCTGCCGCTCCGAGCCAGCCCATAACAGGGGGCCGTGCCCTCTCCTCCGTTTCTGGAACGAACCCGCTGCCCCAGCCCGTGCTGGAGCTGATGTTCAGGATGGAAAGTGGCTCCATCGTGCCCTCCCCAGAGTAAAGCTCTTCCGGGGAGCCAAGGTGCCCGTATGTCACCGCGACAGAGAGTTATAAATGGCTTTGGCAGAGCAAACGTGCGATGGCTTTGAGTCAGCAATCAGCTGAACCCAAAGCCTCCCCAAGAGCAGGGCATAGCCACGGAACGAGAGGCCTCATTCTATTGCAAATTAAAATGTCACAAAAGGAGAAAATGGAAAGCTGTCGTCTTCAGGCTTCAGTTAAATGACGACATCCCGTTGTGTCACAGCCCCTCTTCTAAGTGGCACACACACTGGCTACGCAGCTCCTTGGGGGCTGGAGGGACACCTCACTCCAGACTGTCTCTGCGTGCAGTGTTTTCCTACACACTTCTATAAAATCGCCTGTTTCTACAGCGAGACCTCAGAGACAGCAGGGTTGGGAAAGTGTGAATGGCAGGGGGTGGGGGGAGGGAAAGGGGACAGGAGCAGCCCGTCCTAACGTTCTTCTGCGTAAGCAAATGTATCCGCTCTTTTTAAGAAATATCCTCTTCCTTGACAGCTGCAGCTGAAGCCCTCACCATCATAGGCACCATCCAGCACTGCCTGCGTTTCTGTTTGTTATCTGCCTCCCGGGAGGCACCTTGTCCTGAGCCAGCCACCACAACCTGCCCCGGCGAGGGATGTAAACCCCGGCACCCAAAATGCGCTCCCCCCAGCACCCCTCCCACAGTGCAGTACGGCTTGTCTGCTCCCCGTGCCTGCTGGCAGCCAGGCGAGGCAAGAAAACAAAGCGACAGCCGCCAAAAGGCCACCCTGAAGGAAACGAGTGCAAGTCCTTGCGTGGCCTTTTGGGGTGAGGGACCCCAGCGCCCCCGCCCCTCCCAGGCCCCGCGCAGGCAGCACTCACAGCTCGGTGCATGTTGGACATCGGCGGCGGAGCCCGGCGGATTCCAGAGCAGAGCTAAAAGAGGAGAGCCATCAGACGGCCTTTCTCAGCACTGGTTGCACAGCATACAAGATCATGTTTTGATTACAAAAGCCTCGTCTGGGCTCCCAGCCAAGAGCACTGGCTGCCTAATATACCAAGCACAGACAGGGTTTGGAGTGCCTGTGTCCTCCTCTCCAATCTCACTCTCTTTTTAAAAGAAACACTCCCCCTTTTCCCCCCTCCTGACTCCTTTTAACTTCCTGATGCCACAAACCCTCGTTCAAAGTGGGAAAAGCCGGGTGAACAATGACGGATGGATCAGGCAAACAGCTTGGCTTCGCTGCGTGGCCATTCACGGGGTCGTGTTGTTTGTTATGCATGGCTGGCTCCACGCCTGGCGGGGCCGGGAAATATCTGGGGTGCTGGATGTCTTGTGAGTGTGAGTGTGTGCACGAACCAGCATGGGAAAACATGGGTCAGATTTGCCTTTTTCTGTTTAATTTCAGTATTCTCTGGGAATTATTTCCCCACTGTTAAAGTGGGCCTTTCTTTCAGGAACGAACCGAAGAGTGCTGTGGGGTGGGCATCACCAGCTGGCAGCAGGGCTAGCAGGAAGCACACAGCCAAAGCAGAGGGACTCCTGTAAGTCCCTGTCTGAAAGCTGCCAAAACAACCCTCAGGAGAGTCAAAAGTAGCAACGGGGCTTTGAGGGAACAGCATTCAGCTGCTGCATCTTGAATCACCACATGAACCCTTACCTCACCATAGGATATCCTGAGTTGGAAGGAACACACAGGATCATCCAGCCCAACTCCTGGCTCTGCCCAGACACCACAACAATCCCACCCTGTGTTTGAGAGCATTGTTCAAACCCTCCTTGAGCTCTGGCAGCTTTGGGGCCATGACCACACCCTGAGGAGCCTGTTCAGTGCCTGACCACCCTCTGGGGTAAAGAACCTTTTCCTGATATCCAGCCAAACCCTCCCACAGCTCCAGCTGTTCCCTCGGCTCCTGCTCCTGGTCACAGATAGAGATCAGAGCTGCCTCCCCCCACTGCCCCTTGTGAGGAAGCTGCAGACCCCGATGAGTCTCCTCCAGGCTGAACAAACCTCAGCCGTGTGTCCTGGCCATGTGCTACATTCTCCCTCAGCACAGACTGGCTGCCCATTCCGTCCATCCTGAGGGACACAGATGGAGTATGAGGCAAACAGGAGATGGAAGAACACCAGGGAATGTTTTGTTGCCCAAGGATTGATGCACAGCCCCACCTTAATGTGGGCCCTGCTGTGTTCATATGTTAAAAAAACCAAGCTGGTCCACTGCTGCCCACTGTCCACTCTAAGACCTTTAAGCAGGTCAACTCCTCACAAAATCCAAGAAGACTGACCTGAAACCCGGAGAAGTTTAAGGGAAATCTGCCAAAGACTTTGCAGAACTCAGACTCTGGTCCCTTCTTTGCGCATGACTTGGACATCATGGATAAGGCACTAAGGAGCTGGAAGCACAGCTTAGTAAAAGCTCTTGGAGGGACAGACTGACCTATATTAATTAGTAGCTACTCAGTGATGAAAGGAAATTCAAACCATTTCCAAGGCAGTGCTTCTGGATTCAGGCTTGATGAAGGAAATGAAGACTCAGCTGTGGGCAGAAAATTGGGAAAAAGAGCTTTGCTAGAGTCCAAGTACTTGTCAAGAGGTTTGTGGTGGACACAGCTGTGCAGGAGATGCAGAGTCATGTGGAGCTTTACCTTGGCCTGGGAATGCAGGGGAACTTGTGGGATGGCAGTGCCTTGGTTTTCCAAGCTGGCACACTCTCTTTTGAGGGCAGAGTGATATCCCATTTTTAGCTGGGCTGGAAGCCACAGGGACGAGGTCACCCAGGGACTGGGTTGAGTCAGGGAGTCAGTGTTCATGGAAACACTGAAGCCCTCACCAGCATAGGCACCATCCAGCACTGCCTGCGTTTCTGTTTGTTATCTGCCTCCCGGGAGGCACCTTGTCCTGAGCCAGCCACCACAACCTGCCCCGGCGAGGGATGTAAACCCCGGCACCCAAAATGCGCTCCCCCCAGCACCCCTCCCACAGTGCAGTACGGCTTGTCTGCTCCCCGTGCCTGCTGGCAGCCAGGCGAGGCAAGAAAACAAAGCGACAGCCGCCAAAAGGCCACCCTGAAGGAAACGAGTGCAAGTCCTTGCGTGGCCTTTTGGGGTGAGGGACCCCAGCGCCTTATCCTGTGCATTATCCTGTTTGTGTGGTGGTCATGTCTCTTGCCTCAAGGACACTGCACACCATGTTGATGCTGAGGTTCAGGTTAAAACAGAAACCATTACCCCAAACTCCAAGGCTGGGTTCTGTATGCAGTGCAGGGTGAACACCACGTGCAGCTGGGTCCGTTGTGCTGCCCATATTATGCTCAAATTATCAAGGCTTAAGCCAACTGCTCACAAGGAGCTTCTCCAGACTTCTCCAGACCTCACAGCCATGGCATCCTATGTCCCTGCCATTTCTGGAAGTGTGACCAAGCTCTGACCAAGCAATGAGCAGTGCCATAAACAGGGGTGAAGATCCCTAAAATACCTTTGCCTTTGCTGATTTCCCTCCAGGGCAGTCGCAGCTGCTCCTGACCTCAATACAAAGAGCTGACATGTCTCAGCTGTCCTTTGCCATGCCTGAGTGGCACAAATGACAAGCACCTACTTCTACATCATCATCTGAGATCAATGGGAACCCTCAGTGAACACTGCAGACACAGAAACCCAGGGGCAAAAGGGCCCAGTCAAGGAAGTAGCTTCTGCTGCTGCAGCAGTGGGGCAAAACAGGCTGGTTTGGGGACCTGCCTGTGCCCTTGGGACAGTCAGAGGAGAAAACAGAACCCTATAAATGTGCCAAGATTTATGGGATTATTAATGTGCATGTACATTTAATTATTCTCAGCACTGTGGCCAGGAAGGGCTGCAGTAACACCACAGCTGTCCCCAGTAAAAACTGTCAAAACCCCTGATTTTCTCTAAAGTTCAGTGTCAATCCCAAAACTGGCACTGGCTTCCAATGAGGTCTGTGCCTACACCAAGCCATGGGCAATCCCTCTGGACCATCATCCAGGCACCAGGGATTCCAGTACCCAGAGGTTTGTTTTGGGAAGGAGAGGAGCCAGAGAATGTTCCTAGTCTCCTGCTCTAGTGAGCAGGGTGTGCTGGATGCATGACATTTTGGGAGTCCTGCAGGACTTCAGGACACGCAGAATCCTGTTCACACCAACACCCCCACCTGGGTGGCTGCAGGACACCAATCCTGCTCTCTCCAGCCGTTGATGGCAGCACTTCCCACATATAGCAGCTTGTCAGAGTACTTCAGACAGTAAGTGTATCCTGCATCCATGTTCAACAGGAAGGACATCTGGAGAAACCAGCCTCATTACTCACTCAGCAATTTGTACACCACACCTAGAGTTAATCTCTTTATTCTTTAAAATCCCAAAAGACCTGGTGGGATGGTCTAATTCTGGGCTCTCTTGTGCTCTGGCGGGTGCCATCTCTGAAACTGCTCAGCACAGTGGGCACATGAAATGTACCCAGGTTGGCTCTGTGGTTTCTGCTTCATAGATTTGTCAGCTCTTGCTAACCTTGGGCTAGCCCTGAAGGAGCAGTCCCTGGGGTGGACAGCAGCTTCCTTCAGGAAAGCCTGGAAGCTGGAGGAATCAAGAGGATATAAAGGGGGCTTTTCTGCATTGCCCTTCTGTGGCTGCATTGCACAGGGGCTCAGCTGACTGTCCTTAAGCACAGCCTCCAGCTGCCTACTTGGAGCCCTCGCTCTCCACTCGGGCCAAAGTTTGCTGGAGATTTTTCTGGGGCCAAGGAAGGAAAGCAGGGCAATGACCTCTCAATTTTGTGCTTGTGACAGTGAAATAGTCCCTTTCTCTAATTGTGTGCTGCAAGGCCTTTCAGTTTTGGCACAAAGAGCCATCCCTGACAGCAGTCTGCCATCTCCCTGCTCCAGGACATCACTCAACAGCTGGCACAAAGTTTTGCCCCATATTTTATCAGTAAGTCTCTGTCTCTCTGCCTTACACAAAGACTGAAGGAAAGAATCTGATTCTTCAAAAAATGCAAACTTGCCTGCCCCAAGAAGCATTCCTGGCATCCCTTCATCAGACCTTCCACCAGCAGGAAATGCTTTGGTTTGAAATCCTCTCTCCTTTTCCTTTTGCACTCTGTGAAACTCCTCCAGAGCCACTCAGTCCCATGCTGCCACTTTTCCCAAGTGCTCTTCACCCAGCCTTATCCTGGCTCCTCTCCATTTTTTGCATGACCGCTATCGAGTCAACAGATGGCACTCGGGAACTGCTGGGAGAATCTGGGAGGCAGCTGCCAGAAGCCCACTGAAGGAGCTGAAGTCTGGATGTTGTGGGAGGCTGTTTATTATGTGTCAGGACTGCAGATAGAGCACAGGGCTGAGTCTCAAGGCACGGCTGTGTGCAGCGATGTGCTGCCCAAGGCTCCCGAGCTGAACTAGCAATCCTTCTCCAGGCCTTGGATGAGGGAGGGATGGGAACACAGTGTATCAAAGAAGAGTTCCCAGAGGCCTGGAGGCATACTTCCTACCAAACACATAATAACGCAATTCCTCCTGCCTCCCTTGCCTCCCCCAGCTCTGGTCCTTCAAGCAGCTGCACTGCAGGATTAAAAAGGGGTTGAGGTGTTTCCCCCAGCCAGAAGAAAGGTAGCATATTCCCTAGACTGGGAAGAGGCACCAGGCAAAACCTGGTGGTTTTAAATGGTTTTTTAAAACTTTAAATGGGCTTTAGCTGGAAAGACTTGTGGAGATCAAAGGGCTGCCAAGACATTTGCTTTGAAATTGATCAATATACAATTAAAATTAAAACTACCAAAGACAGTTAAAGAATATAATGGCAGTTTGGTCCTGCTTAAAAGAAGTAAGGATCATAGCTGCCTGTTGGTACTTCCACAGGGATACCAGTCATGGCACAGCACAGAAATATCTCAGGATGTGCAGAGCAGCCCTCTTCCCATTTGGAACAAGACATCCCCTCTTTTCCCCTTCCCTGTGCATCATCACAGCCTGCAGGTCCTACCTCAAGTCCTGTGGGTGAGTTCTGTGCATACCCGTGTTTAATGCCACCTTGAAAAACCATGATCTTGTCAGCTCTCCCAGTATTTTCTGCTCCTGAAAACTTGTCATTTCAGTGTAAGACCTCTGAAGTGGTCATAGGCTGAGCAAATGAAAAATTAATCTGTCCACTTTTCCCACTTGCGGACACACTTAGCAGGGACAAATACAGGTTTGCTGACCTTGTTCACTACCCAGCCTTCAGATGTAGGACA